TCGTCGAACTTGGCCTTCTTTAGGATAATAAGATTACAACACAAAGAATGCCCAGCCCAGCCGTGGTGGCGGGGGAATTCTGGAAATTGAAGTCTACTCATCTTAAAGTGGCCAAGTTTGGACAACACTGTCCTAAGCCATCAGGAGAGGAGCAAGGAGAAGCCATCAGAAGTGCCTCTCTGTCTATCGAACTACCCTTGATCTTTCCCTTTAGGAAATTGTCTCTTTTTTTGCTCTCAAGGCACAAATAGGCAGGAAGGGAAATACCTTGGCTACCTCATGTAGGGAGTTGTTCCACCCTTCCAAATATCGCAGAGATTCTTGTTTAGAGTTGGGGAAGAGATTGGTCTCTCCGAGATCTTTGTAGGAGGAAAAGCAGGAAGGCTTCGCATCGCAGAGACTCTTGGGGTTTGGGAAATGAACCCCAAACTTCCTGTGTACCAGGCGTGTTCTTTTGCAGAACTGAAGCCCCAGTCAAGCCAAAGCAGGTGAAACAGTAAAATCAGGTTTGGTTCTGGCTGAACCATGTTATGTAAACTCAAGCAACTGTTCAGTAGAGCAGTAAAAGGAACCCAGTTGTGTGAGCTCAGTTGTAGAGTCAGACTGGCCTAATCTTTTCTGATGGTGAAATGGCACTGCAGGAAAACCGAACATCAGTTTCTCAAGGAGGCACCTTATCCGAGATCAGCCTTCCCCAACCGGCCACCCTCCATATGCACTGAGACCGCGATTCCTGGAATTCCTAGCTAAGTTCTTCCCATGCTTCCAGCTGCACAAGCCTACTGAACTGATAACTCCACCCTGGGCGCTGCCCCCCCCCCGAGACCCCAGCAGCATGTCAAAATGGTCCAAATCCAAGGCACGTAACACACAGCCGAGGGAACCCAGGAAGGAAACTCCAGTCTAGAATTGAACCCAGCCAGTGCCGTGTAGTCCAAAGCTCTGCTGTGGGACTCCAAGGAAGCAAGTCCAGCACCTTGCAGGGGTCGATCTTTCCCCAAACCCAGTGCTGGGATTTGAGGGGCACAGCCCATGCCCGTTTTCAGATCCTCCTCTCCCTGCAAAGTGTTGTGAGAAAGCTGCTCGCTTAAATTAGAAAACACGGCATTTAGAGATAGATGCAGCCAAGTATTATAACAATTGTTTCCCTTTTTTAAAAAAATATTTGGTCAACTCAAGTGGCGAACATACGTAACTTTTCTCCTCAGCAACCTTGTGAGGTGGGTTGGGCAGAGTGTTGACCGGCCTGAAATCGCCCAGCTGGCTTTTATGCCTAGGGGAGGCCTGGAACTCACCGTCTCCCGGTTTGTAGGCTAGCACCTTCACCACTACACCCAACTGGCTCTCTTTATTAGAGATAAATAAATATTATTAATTCATAGTATACTTTATTGGAATGTATTTACAGAGATCACTGCAGAAAGCGGGAGAGCAAGCCCCTGGTGAACCATTCTACAGATCCTATGTTTGCTCACTTGCATTTGAAACAGAAAGATAACACAGCTAATAGAATGACATGGGGACCCTTCTTCTCGAAGGCTTTGGTAAGCTAGTAAAAGGACCTCCCTGTCCTGCGTCACACTTGCAGCATCCTTCCTGATATTATCCACGTGCACAGCAAGCAACACTGTTTGCGTTGTAGTCTCCTTTTACATCCTTGCTCCCCAGAAAGACAAACTGTCTGGTTTTTATTAAGCTCTTTCCACTCCAGGTTCGCAGTACTGACCAACAAGCTTTTCCGTTACCAAGCAAACAGGACATATCTGTTTCTAAGGCATAAAAATGAACGTACGAATTAGACCTCCCCAAAAGAAGGAGCCATCCAAAGGGGGTGGGACGGCTTAGAAAACGCTGTTTTCTTGGCTTGTCACCAGCGGCAACAGAAAGGGGGAAAGAACCTCCCCAGGACGGATCCCGAGAGGTTGAGAAACCTTCACCTTCTGCCGCGTGCATCTCTCCTGCTTTAGGGAGGCCCGGTAAAGACCTCCGGGTTTTGCCTCCTTGGGGCAGGGAAAGGGAGCAAAAACCAGACGCAACCGCAAAGGCAAAGAATGGCAACCCATCGACGCGGCCGTCCCGTTACGTTTCATATGAACGGAAGTACAGAAAAACTAGGGCCTACAGCACTTTAATCGTAGCAAGCAGAGTGGTTAGGCACGACTAGAAGAAAGGCGGCCAAGCTGGAGGAATTCAGGCAAGGAGACCCAGCGGTTTCGCCTTCAAGCAGATCTCTCTTCGGAGGCATTTTGACAGCCGAAGGGGCTTCCTTGGCCTCTCAGCTGCAAAGGTCCTTCAAGGCCCCCAGCACCGCTCCTCCGGCCGTTGCTGCTGCTGAGACCGCGGTTGGCACCCCGGCAGCCCCTAGACAGAGAGAGGGGGAAGACGAAAGGTGAGACGCTAGTCCTCAACGACAAGGCCGATCCCTGTACCAGGGCTGGGCAGGAAGCCTACCGATT